ATGGATGGATGGATGGATGGATGGATGGATGGATGGATGGATGGATGTTTTTCTTGGTCTGACCCACCCAATAAGGCGATGACCTGATTCATCCAATCACATTTCTAAGACATGTCCCTTATTTTAGGTATGAGTTTAATCGATTTTGTCAATGAAATCCCTTTCATTTGAGTTTTTTATTACAAACCATCATAATAAAGAGATCATTTAAATGATCTCTTTTATATGTGTGACGTAAACAGTGCAATAATGAGATTAGTTTTTACTAGATGATGTTTATGAAGTGCTTTTTTTCTCTTCTTTCCCAGAACCTATGACGTTTACAACAAGTTTAAGAAAGAAATGCTTTGAACAACACAGCAGAAGCTCCTTTTAGGCTATTTGAGTGGATTCCAGAAACCTGATACATACTCACCGATGAGTCTTTGTTTGATCAGCTTCTACTAAAGCTGTCAATCAGCCAATCAGCAGAGCCGCTTTCTCTCATCAACATCGTACAGCTCAGATGATTAGTGGCACTAAATTACCACAACTTACGAACTTCCAGCCAGATTCCCAAATGATTTATCACTTTTTGTAAGCAGATGCGATCCAGTCTGTTCTGTGATAAGGAAATGCATGTTGATCCATTGATGTAACGTTCATTCTGTCACGTCTGGGGGAATGTCTGGTGTCTCGTCATGTCTTGATTACCTATTGTGAACACCTGGGGTTCCCCTCCCTCATGTGTTTAAATAGTCCTCGTTTCCCATGTCCTGTGCCAGTGTGTTTTCGTCTTTGTCTCCCCACGTCATGTAAGGTTTTGATTTTTTGCACTTCGCCATAGCCATGATTTTGTCACAGCCATGCCATAGCCTTGTTTACTGTTTTTGCCATTGCCATGTTTCTCACAGTCATTAATCTTGCTTTGATATTTTGGCATAGTCTTGTTATGATACTTTGTCACAGTTTTGTGTTCATAGTCATGTTAACCTTGCTTTGTTACTTTCATAGTTTTGTCACAGCCTTGTTTTGAACTTTGTCACGATCCACTCCATTTGAGAGTGTTTTTGTTAAAATAAACCCTTGGAAGTAACCCTCTCCGCGACTGAGTCCTCCCTAAGAACCACCTTCTTGACACATTCATCCCTTATTTCATCTGCATTGCTGGAATGCAGACACAGAGGTCTGAAGCTTCCGTCTGCAGCTTTTTGGGGGACATCTTGCTATAAGTTGAAGATTTATGTAATTTAAATGCTAAATATGAATATCATTGAATCCAGTTGATTGAAAATGCAATGAATTGGATTCTTAGATTGGATTAAATATTTTTTTTTCTGATTAAACTCTCTTGAGCAAATACAACAGACTCCAGAGGTGAATCATGTGTTTGAGGTCTGATTAAAAAGAGGCTGTTGTTTTGTCCTACATTTAAATGACAGCACGAGTAACCATTTAATCAACAACTGATGACAACAAATGAACACCACACACTTGTCCTTTACAAGTATTTCTAAACTATTCTCAGTAAACATAAGGTAGACTAACGGTCTTGAACTCTTTTTACATTATAGATTTATTTTTCACTATTAACAAAACATCTGTTTTTGATGGTAATCTCATTTACATGGCACCTTTTTACATGATTTATAGGGTCACAAGCAGCTTTTAGCTCGTCAATACATGATACTTTTACAATGAAGCAAAATGATAAAAATATATTCAGCTTTTTCCAGATGTGGGCGGGTTAGCTCTGGTGACCAGAGCATACACCGTCTCAGCAGATTGCACAGGTCCAGTGGGACCCTGAGCCAGATCGTAGATAGAATTTGGATTTTCCGATTCCTCTTCAACAGGATTCATATCAAAGTTTGGATTGGCTTCCTAAAGACAAAAGAAAACTTTTGTTAGCAAACAGTGTGCCCATTGCAGAATATGAGAATAGTTGAGCAAAGAAAGCACGCAGACAGCCAACACGAGCATCCAGCAGGATCAGCATCAGTAGACGGGATGGAGCTTGTTATTGTAGCAGGAAATGCTGGATTAGATGCGTTAAGACGCTCATTATCTATTAATATCAGAGTAAAACTGTTTTGCTCGGCCTCAGTTTGACTGGAAATTTGGGAGAGTTTTCCTTCACATTAAAAAGAGCTTGCTTCTTACCTCAGGACCTTTGCTCTCTGTACTTTTGTTGAATTTTCTTTTACCTGCAGGTCAGTCATAGAAAGTAAATGTATAACTATGTTCAGTTAAAGACTTTTTTAAAGCATTCGTTTTCATGTCTTGATCAGCATGCAGTGGAATTTGTTCACGGTTTATCAAAAATTTCGATATGAGGCCAGGTGCTTTTTTTATCCACATCTTGTGTGTTCAAACATATTACACAAAGTTTTCTGACAGCCCAGCCTGTTATCAAACAGGCTGTCACTGATGGACAGAAAAATTAAGAAAAGCTTATTCCTACTCTTATCATAGAGTCATCTTACTGGGGCCCCAGTGGTACTTTAGATCTTTCCTGAAACAGCTGTAAATAAAAGGTAAGCACTTTAATTTACGATTAGTTTTTTTAAAATATATTTTTCGATCAATTATTCTTTTGGAGGTTCGTTATATCGTGTGGAATACGCCCCCACAGGGCAATGTGACATTCATGTGGGACCACACGTTCAAAAATTCTCCAAAATAATTTGCTTTAAAGCTGAAATCAACTTTTTTCCTGAGTGGGGAGACCTGGTGTGTGTTTGTTTTTCTAAAGCGAAGTGTTTGGACTCAGTGTGGTATGAGTTACTAATGCCACAAACCAGTAAAAAGTGTTGATTTTAAAAATACTGACTTGCTGTTTGAATGGTGCCGTTTGATTTGTTTTTCTATAACATGCTTTTCCTTTTTCAGCAGCATGAGCCCCATTTGACCATCCTGATTAAAATTATAATAATAATAATTTGGGAAGAAGAGCTGAGATTTTCCAAGAATAAAAGGTTTGGGAGCCATTTGTCGAACTTTGGCCGAACATTTTTACGTAAATGACACATAATATTGATTAATGTTATCATTAATTCATCAATATTAATATAATACTGTATCAATATTATGATATCAACACCAACAGCAAAACTTAGATTCAGTATCAAATTTAATATTCATATTAAATAATACAACCCCCCACCCCCCGCAACCCCATTAGGGAATAAGTGGTTACGATAATGGACAGACGGATGGATGGATGGATGGATGGATGGATGGAT